CTAGTGTGTTATTTTTTTGGAAAGGTAATTTTAAATTCGTTTCAATAAATTAAAAATATACAGGGTGTCCCATATAAAAAATCAAATTTTCTGTTGATAATTCTTAAATTATTAATTTTAAAAAAATTATACTTAAACTATTAAATTCTACGTAAAATGGTGCGTTGGAAATGTTTTCATAAATATACAAAATTTTCCATTGCAAAAAAGTTACAGTGATTTGTTAAAAATGCATATTTTTGAAAAACACCCCGAATAACTCCGAAACGGTAACAGATATCGATATGCGGTTTTCACCATCATGTTTTTAACAAAAATTGAGCTCCAGACACCGATATTAGTTTTTGTCTATCTCCTATTGAAAAAGGTGTTTCCATTTAAAAGCGTCGAATTTGACCCACCCTGTACATTACTATTCAGAATTAATTCTTGTGTTGAATTTAAAGGTAGAGAAATAAACTTTACTGGAAAATGTTATTGCTTCCTTAAATTTATACAGGGGTATCAAAAATTGCTGATCTATTTTAAGAATTTATTTTACATAAAAACTTCGTTATTTCAAATACAACACCCTGTATTTTTTATAATAAATTGAATCAGATTCAAATGCTTTTTCAAACTATATTAGGGTTTCCTATACCTATCTAGCTCAGATTTTGAATAAAGAGCAGTTTTTCAATAAAATGGCAGCCAAGACGGCTAGTGTTGTCATGGCAACTTTCTAGTGACAGTTACTACATAGTTACTAGTTATTTTCAGAATCGAAATTAGTTTATGGGCTTATTTAAATTTATACCAGTTGGTATACAACCTACAATAGTTTAAAAAATAATATTTATTAAATGTGTATTTATTATTCTATGAAGAAAAACGAAGACGCAGTTCGTTGATTTATTTTACAATGACTTGTAGATATATGGATTTTCTATAAAAGAGACAATTACGGCAAATTCATTTTCTTCACTTCCAATGACAGGTTTCTGCCTAACAGGTTTCTTTTATAAACCACGCTACCAGCTCTGAGAAACAGGACAAGTAGTTTTTCAAAGGAACGCTTATCAAGAAGATTCCTATTTTTGGATACCTTTGAGCATAAGCTTTTGAGGCCAAGTAGCAATTTTCCTCACAAAATAAAATCACTACAAACATATCCATTCGTTCCGCCAGCAGATACTGCTTTATTTTTCTCGATAAAATAATGAATACTTACTTATTAAACTATTGTAGGTAAATTTAAGTAAACTGTTATAAATTATAAATAATAATGTCCATAAACTAATGGCGACTTTGAAAATAGTTACTAACTGTCACTAGAAAATGATGGCGACACCAACCATCTTTATTGCAATTTTATTTAAAAATCGTTGTTTATTTAAAATCTGAGCTAGATAGGTATAGGAAACCTAATATAGTTTGAAAGAGCATTTGAATCGCATTTGAAGTTTTTATATAAAATAAATCCTTAAAATAGATCAGCAATTTTTGATACCCCTGTATAAATTTAAGGAAGCAATGCCATTTTTCAGTAAAGTTTATTTCTTTACCTTTAAACTCAGCACACGGATTAATTCTGTAAAGTAATGTACAGCGTGTTAATAATCTATTCTATTGTAGCATGCAAATTTAAATATCTTTAAATATCTCAAAAACTAACGATTTTAAACATATTTAACCCTTATAATAAAAGCCTTTTTTTTGACAGGAATTCAAAAATGAAATAAAATACCGGGTGTTCAATAAGAAAAAATATAACTTTGGTATGGATCTTAGTTCTGAAACACCCTGTATATTTCAAAATAATTTTAAATTGTGCATATTGCCTCCCCACATATAAACATAAAATATTTTCGTGTTCGTATAATCAACCGAGGCGAATGAGGTGTACCACCCTGTATAGAAAATAAATAAATTAAACTGACTTTTTTACATGATAACGGTCTTACATGAGATAATCTCCATAGTACGGTTTTATATGAGATAATCTTGACCAAAACTAATTGTGAACATGTGAAATTATAGGATACCACACTCACCGGCACGAAAAACCGTTGTTCTAATGCCACTGTCATTGAAAAGTCATATTATTTTTGTTCATTGACGTTTACTCTACTAGTGATTGTTTTAAATTCTAAAGTATGGGCTGTTGCTGCTTCAATAATTGATCATGGTAGAGATCAACTTTTGGACTTAAAACTATCTCTGCTAGAGTAACTACCCAACAGACAACTAGATATCATTTTTCAAAGACAGACATTAAATAAATCATAAACACTATTTATAGGTCTGTTGGCTAGAACCAACAGCAAAGTTATGCTTTTAATGTAAAATTGTTATACGAAATACGAAATATATAAACATATAAATACGAAAAAATGTTAGTCAAAAGAGAATATATCTATAAAAAATTGAAGCTATTGAGATGAACCAAAAATCAAACAATTGAGGAAAGGTACACCTAGATGATAAAAGATTTTTAAATTCCTTGCTTTGTTAACATACTCCACAGGGTGTTTCAAACTTTCACATAATATCAACATTTTGTTTTCTCTCGTATAATTGACAAATGGCAACTTTGATTTTTAATTTAGGAACGCACATTAAAAAGTCAAATAATTTGGCTACAGATTGTTTAAAAATCATCGAAATCGCTACAATATATAAAAATTTTAACAATATATAAAATTTTAAATTATATGAAAATTTTAAGGTGTCCGTTTTCGTGCCGGTGTATAATCATTACGTATTAATTGTTATTTTTACTTATTTTACTTATGATGCCGACACCGAATTTTCTATTTTCGTAAAAACATTAACCAGTCTAGCGTTCAAATCCTTTCCTCTTAGGCCTATCGAAAATAAGCATAATAAACCTTGGACCACTACAGGTCTACGCATATCTTCTAAAAGCATGCGTTCATTATATCACTTAAAAAAATTCTCAGACAGTGTCTTCTTCCACAATTACGTAAAACTATACAGAAAAATTTATCATAAGACTATAAGAGCCGCTAAGGACCTTTATTATAACAGGAGAATAGTCAATTCTGGTAATGTTGCTAAAGAAACATGGTCTATTGTGAATGATTTGAGAAACAAAAGCTTCTTCGTCTAACAATATCTCTACCTCACCTGAGAACCTTAACGATTACTTTGTAAATGTAGCGAAAAACTTAACTAATACCATATGTCCTTCTCATGATCCACTTTCATATCTTTCTAATGATAATGTAAACTTACAGTTTTTTTTTGCCCGTAGTTTTAGAAGAGCTTCGCAGTACAATTAATACCATCAAAAATAAATCCTCATTTGGGACCGACGGGCTAACTTTAAAAATGTTTTCGAATCTGCCAGAAAGCACTCTGAATCACCTAACTACTTTAATAAACATGTCATTCCAAAATGGTATTTTTCCAAAATGACTTAAGACGGCAATAATCATTCCTCTGCATAAAGGGGGAGACAAAGATGAAGCTTCTAACTATCGCCCAATTGCACTCCTTCCAACGCTATCTAAGACCATAGAAAGGTTGGTTAAAGGAAGGCTTGTAGCTTTTCTGTTTAAGTACAAAATACTTACTGAACATCAGTTTGGATTTCTAAGCAACAAGTCCACAAATGACGCTATGTTTCCCCTCCTTAATAAAATTTACTCCAGCCTAAAAAACCATCATTCTACAGCAACAATTTTCTGTCATTTTTCTAAGGCCTTCGACTGTGTAAATCATAAGATCCTAATTAATAAACTGCAGAACTGTGGGTTCAGAGGAACATCTCTCGAATGGTTTAAGTCGTATCTGAGCAACAGAAGTCAACTTGTGTGGGTAGATACCACGTTGTCTTCTAGCAAGCCAATAGAATGTGGAGTACCACAAGACTCAGTGCCATGCCCCATTTTGTTTCATCTTTTTATTAACGACATTGCTAACATAAACATCAGTGGCAAAATATGTCTTTTTGCGGGCGACACTAGCTCCACTTGGAGCAACAAGGACATCACTACACTTCATAGGATTATATCAAATGACTTAATCACCATTAAATCTTGGTGCGATTCGAACCTCCTAAGTCTCAACATTTCTTAAACTAAAGCTTTGTCGTATAAAAACTCGCTGCAGCCTTTTGTACTTAACAACACCACCATTGATGTCGTAAAATCTGTAAAATTCTTAGGGCTTGTTGTGGACAATTCTCTGAAATGGGACATGCACATCGAAGCTATGTCGAAAAAATTGAGCTCTGCCTGTTTTACATCAAGATCTGTTTCTAAGGAGCTTAACTTGTCAGTGGCTAGAACTGTTTATTATGCACTTTTTGAGTCGCACCTCAGGTATGCCCTTCCATTCTGGGGTATGTGTTGTGCGACTCAGTTTGACCGCATTTTCAAGCTCCAGAAGAGAGCTGTTCGATATTCACTGGGGCTAAACAGCAGAACTCATTGCCAGGACTTTTTTTAAAAAATTAAAAATATTAACTCTTCCTTCCTTATTTATATTTGAATCCGTTTGCCTAATACGTAAGCATGTATCAGCTTCAAAGGCCATCTCATACTTATCCACTCAGGAACGCGAAGCAAGATCTTTATCTACCTACCCCACGCTTAGAGTTAAATGTTCAATATTATACAACTCGAAAAAAAATGCACATCTCCTGCCATATCACCTGCCATTTGATCTTGTAAACACTGGTCTAATGTTTGCTATTGCTATATTTACCAATGACACCGAAAGACATTTATTTAGAGGTCATTGATATTTACTATAAACTAACTTTGAATATTATTTTTATTTTTTTTTTATTCTTTGACACTGTAAACATTTATATAAATGTTTATTTTAAACAATAAAATTGACAATATTATTTGTATAATGTTTTGTATTATCTTTTGTTTGTTTGTTTGTGTACCTTGTTTGTTTACTTTATTTGTTTACTTTACCTTTGTCTACAAATTGTAAAATTTTTTGACAATAAAGGCATTTATTTATTTATTTACTATTTCTAGGCTCCGGTGCCATGGTCGGATATCATCAGGGACAAGACGGTTTGGGTTAACGTTTTGGCACAATGGGGCGGACTCTGGGGTCTATTTACTCTCATGACACACGCTCCAACCTACTTTAAGTTTATACACGGATGGAACATCAAAGCGGTAAGTGCTTTAGTGCATGTAATTCGAAATATACGTATATCTGGTGTGTACGGGCTTTTAGGATTGTATTTAAAAAACATATTCGGGGTTTTTTAAACGAAACCGAGAGAAGCATTATAATGGAATATTTTTTGGATATTTTTTTTCAACCTACTGAGGAATTATGGAAATAATTTAGACACTCTAAAAAAGTATTATTTATTCTTACTGAAATATAATACATCGTTTCAATTTTATATCTAGGTAGGTCTGTCACATAGGGTAAACAATTTGAAAAGTAGGAAATGGGAATATCTTTAAAAAAAATACTATTAAGACACAACTTTTATTTAAAGCGAATCTTTCTAGTTTAGCATAACGCTAAAAACTTCTATTGTTTTTGATTTTTTGGGTATTTCACCATTTGCACTATTATAAGAAAGTCTCAAAAAAACAAAAAAAAAACGGAGACCAACTTGTCAGTGGTATTTTGCTAATAAAACAAATTTGCCTAACGCACAAAAAATGTTTAATTTTTTATATAGGAGGTATACAGGGTGTCCGAGGCTGAGCGTGCATTAGAAGTTTCTAGAGAATTACAACATCTAGCTCGGAGATTTTTTGCACATCATAGTTTCACAACGAGATCTATCGATTAAAAATATTTTCACTATGGCGGGACTTCCGGAAATACCGGAAGTTGATAGCAACTTAATAAAAACACTAAATCACCACAATACACCAAAACACTTTTACTTTTACACTGGACGCGCGTTTCGCTAACCATGTTAGCATCATCAGCAGATGATTATAAACTAAAATACAATCTACAAGTTGAGTGTTTATATACTCGCTCAGTGCACACCGAGTGGGCGTGGCAAGATCTAGCCAACCGAGTCAGAGCCCACCGAGCGTAACAGTTAAATTTCCGCCACTAAAGTAGTAGGAACAAAGAACTTGAAGGAATTGGACTGTTGTCTCTGTTCGTACTATCATTACATTTATTAATTCTGATGCTTTCATAGGCATCTAATTGCCTGTAATGTGAGACTTGTTTAATTAATTTTAAATTATTAAGATCTATACAATGTTCTTTATCAACAATATGTTCGCAAATTGGATTACCTAATAATTGTTGTAATTTATTGTTAGCACTATACGCAAGTTTATAATTGACATTCTTAAAAATTCCTTTTAGACCACGGGATAACTCTCTATCAAACGGAATCGAAAAATATTTAGACGTATCTTTCTCCACTTGAAAAGTCGAATTTTCAGAAATCATTAACCTATACCTACGTTTTCTAATTATTTTATCAACTAGTGAAGGAGAATATCCATTACACTCAGCTACATTCCTAATGTAATCTCTTTCTATTTCATATCTTTCGCTGGAGAGTGGAAAACTAAGTATCTATGAACTAAGAAATTTAAACTAGCCATTTTATGTTCAACACTATGATATGATTCATTAGGAATATATCTGCGTGTAGTGGTGTTTTTCCTACAGATATCAAATTCCAGGCAATTATTATTATTTCTAATAACTAATACATCTAGAAATGGTAATCTGTCGTTGTTCTCAATTTCCTGCGTAAATTTAATGGAAGGAAAACGATTATTTAACTTAGAAATATCCATGGTGTCTGAATGTGTGTCAAAAATAACAAAAATATCATCCACATACCTAAGCCATACTCTTGGAAAATACTCAAACTGATTCTTAGCCTCCACTTCAAACCTTCTCATGAATAAGTTAGCCAAAAATGGAGACAATGGATTACCCATTTTATTTTTTTTACCCAAAACAATTTTGTTTCATACATAACGATGTAAGCTCAATATATTCAATCACAGTTTTGTTGTCGAGACCATTTGCGTTCAGTAATTCATTCAAGTAGCCTAAAGTATGTGGAATTGGAACACTTGGGAACAACGAAGATACATCAAAAGAGACCAAAATTTCACCTTCATGCATTGTTAACATTGCATGAAGGTGAAATTATTGTTGATAGAGAACATTGTATAGATCTTAATAATTTAAAATTAATTAAAGAAGTCTCAAATTACAGGCAATTAGATGCCTATGAAAGCATCAGAATTAATAAATGTAAAGATAGTATGAACAGAGACAACGGTCCAATTCCTTCAAGTTCTTTGTTCCTACTACTCTAGTGGCGGAAATTTAACTGTTACGCTCGGTGGGCTCTGACTCGGTTGGCTAGATCTTGCCACGCCCACTCGGTGCCCACTGAGCGAGTATATAAACGCTCAACTTGTAGATTGTATTTTAGTTTATAATGATCTGCTGATGATGCTAACATGGTTAGCGAAACGCGCGTCCAGTGTAAAAGTAAAAGTGTTTTGGTGTATTGTGGTGATTTAGTGTTTTTATTTTGCTGTGTAATACCAACATAACAACTGTAAACAACTTTCTTATTTTAAATGGGTGCCCCCATTTTTTATTATGTACTTAAATTCTATGTAACATTTTATAAATTTTGATATTAAACACTCTATATCTAACATTAACCGTTATTGAGAAAAAAAATATTTAAAATTTTTGAACGACAAAAACTGCCTGTCAAAAATATGTGTATAGCCTAAACGTCAAATTTAGTGAATACCACAGCCACTGTGCCATAAAGAAAAAAACATGTGGCTATCTATTTCAAAAATTAAATTGTTCGAATGTCATCTAATAATGGCCGCAGCTGTCATAGAATTGAGCGATTAAAAAAGTATCATAAATTATTTTTTTCAAATGGAAACCCACTTTTTTATTTCACTAGTGAAAAGGCTTTTCAATTCGTTACTTTTTAACTATACATGTTCCTATACCTAAAATAAATCGTTTTTGAGGTATTTATGATTAACTTTTAAAACGTATATTTTTCTTGATTTTAACCAATAGTCTAGGACTTTAAACGTCAAGTGAGGTAGATCTCAATAGATCGTGCCAACTTTGCGCTGTTTTTTTTTTCGATCATACGGAATATTATTAATAATATCAACTCTTAGATATCACTAAAGAGCGAAAATACGAGAAATATTTTTATAAATACACTTTTTAAAAGTTTAAGGGCAGGCAGTATTTATACTATAGGAAATTCAAATAATTCATTTTCTGACAAATGGAAATAAATTGTCTGACCCTTTGACATTTAATGTCAAAGAAAGCTAGATAAAATCAAGAAAAATATAAGTTTTCAAACTCAATCTTAAATAACTTTAAAAACGATTTATTTTAGGTATAGGAACATGTATGGTTAAAAAGTAACGAATTGAAAAAGCGTTTCATTAGTGAAATAAAAAAAGTGGGTTTCCATTTGAAAAAAATGATTTATGATAATTTTTTAATCACTCAATTCCATGACAGCTACCGCCATTATTATATGACATTTGAACAATTTAATTTATGAAATAGATAGCCACATGTTTATGTCACAGTGGCTGTGGTAATGACTAAATTTAACTTTTAGGCTATACAAATTTTTGTGGCAGGTAGTTTTTTTCGTCCAAAAACGTTAAATAATGTTTTTCTCAAAAACGGTTAATGTTAGACATAGAGTGTTTGACATCAATATTCATAGAATTTGTTCATTTCACATGTTTATGTCACAGTGGCTGTGGTAATGACTAAATTTAACTTTTAGGCTATACAAATTTTTGTGGCAGGTAGTTTTTTTCGTCCAAAAATGTTAAATAATGTTTTTCTCAAAAACGGTTAATGTTAGACATAGAGTGTTTGACATCAATATTCATAGAATTTGTTCATTTCACATGTTTATGTCACAGTGGCTGTGGTAATGACTAAATTTAACTTTTAGGCTATACAAATTTTTTGTGGCAGGTAGTTTTTTCGTCCAAAATGTTAAATAATGTTTTTCTCAAAACGGTTAATGTTAGACATAGAGTGTTTGACATCAATATTCATAGAATTTGTTCATTTCACATGTTTATGTCACAGTGGCTGTGGTAATGACTAAATTTAACTTTTAGGCTATACAAATTTTTGTGGCAGGTAGTTTTTTCGTCCAAAAATGTTAAATAATGTTTTCTCAAAAACGGTTAATGTTAGACATAGAGTGTTTGACATCAATATTCATAGAATTTGTTCATTTCACATGTTTATGTCACAGTGGCTGTGGTAATGACTAAATTTAACTTTTAGGCTATACAAATTTTTGTGGCAGGTAGTTTTTTCGTCCAAAATGTTAAATAATGTTTTTCTCAAAAACGGTTAATGTTAGACATAGAGTGTTTGACATCAATATTCATAGAATTTGTTCATTTCACATGTTTATGTCACAGTGGCTGTGGTAATGACTAAATTTAACTTTTAGGCTATACAAATTTTTGTGGCAGGTAGTTTTTTCGTCCAAAATGTTAAATAATGTTTTTCTCAAAAACGGTTAATGTTAGACATAGAGTGTTTGACATCAATATTCATAGAATTTGTTCATTTCACATGTTTATGTCACAGTGGCTGTGGTAATGACTAAATTTAACTTTTAGGCTATACAAATTTTTGTGGCAGGTAGTTTTTTCGTCCAAAAATGTTAAATAATGTTTTCTCAAAAACGGTTAATGTTAGACATAGAGTGTTTGACAGCAATATTCATAGAATTTGTTCATTTCACATGTTTATGTCACAGTGGCTGTGGTAATGACTAAATTTAACTTTTAGGCTATACAAATTTTTTTGTGGCAGGTAGTTTTTCGTCCAAAATGTTAAATAATGTTTTTCTCAAAAACGGTTAATGTTAGACATAGAGTGTTTGACATCAATATTCATAGAATTTGTTCATTTCACATGTTTATGTCACAGTGGCTGTGGTAATGACTAAATTTAACTTTTAGGCTATACAAAATTTTTGTGGCAGGTAGTTTTTTCGTCCAAAAATGTTAAATAATGTTTTTCTCAAAAACGGTTAATGTTAGACATAGAGTGTTTGACAGCAATATTCATAGAATTTGTTCATTTCACATGTTTATGTCACAGTGGCTGTGGTAATGAC